CCCCTCCCTTAGATAGGTTTGATAGATTTTTTCCTACTTCTCCCCTTTTGTAATCATAAAAAAGAAATAGGGGTAGACAAAGAAACAATTTATTGTTAACCTATCAGTTCCATTCCTAGCCTATCTCTCAGCCATATGTATCTATCTTCTTGAAGGGGCTTGGTAAAGATATCTATAAAGCCAGACGAAGCATATCCTAGTAAGGTTTTGAATGAGACAAATATAATGCATATTGTTATCTCTAACAAATGTGTTAGTGTTTCAAAAAAACATAAGTACAAACAAGTAAAGTAAATGTACATTTTTTTAAAAAAAAGGTACAAAGTATAAACATTAATTACAAATTAAAAATTTAAATTTTACTAAATTTGAAATCTTTATTCAATTATACTTCATATATATGCTTTATCTTTCACTTTTAAGAAAAAATAAATTATTAATTATTAATTATTCATTTAACAGCGATAACATTAAATTAATTTTATTTTTCAAACCAAATTATTTATTATTTTATTTTAAATGAGATCACTAAATAAAGGGGTGTATGAAAAGTAACGGATAGAAAAAACAATGTAGAATAAGATAATTATTAGATTATTTTTGTTGGAAAAAATAAAAAGGAATGAAAAAGAATTGATCTCCCCACTTGGATTTTCTATTTTCAATCGGTCTCCAATGAGTGTTAATGATTGTGTCAAGCGTTTAACTCGAGCAATATGTTCACATTTGCAAGGGAACCACTATTATCTCACTCCTACATCTATCATGGAAGGCTTACAATCATTTTTACGACACTATTCTACTCTCTATTAGTCATTTTTTGAATTAAGTGGAGATAGGGAGGAATAATGAATAGTTTTGAAATTGGTCAGTCAGCTTGATGGATTTTGTAGTGGTGACAGGATTAAGGTTTGTCTATAATTCTTATCATTCTTCCAATTTTTTTTTGTTTATTTTTATTAATTTCTTTAAAGGGTGATCATTTCATTCCCGATTGAAGTTTGATGGATCTCGATTATAACGACCTGTCATAATCTCTACTCTTAGTGGAATCACACTACTACTAGCAAACTAAGAAAAATACTAAGCTGGATAACTCATACATACAGGGATAGGTAAGAATAAAAATAACTAAGTTTCTGTATATAAAATAGAACACCATATATGTATAGTCATCCCAAAAATAATATTTCCTAGTGCCGGTCAAGCACAAACAAAACCGTGACCCAAAATGGTAACTCTAACACGAGGATCAAACTCCCCGTCTCGCAGCGGCCACTTCAACTCTAAGCTATCCCTGACCTGCTCCTATACCAAGTATGATCATTGCAGTCCCAACACATGCAAACAAAAGGGAAAGCTAGAGTTCAAAAATCAATCATACAAGTGCAGAACAATAATCTATACGACAAAATCATCCAACTATAAATCATATTTATAGAGTCACACCATACACTCTATCCAATACTACTCGTGCATAAAACACAATCCACCATTCATGAAGTCAAACACCACACACTTCATCATATTAACAATCATGCAATAAATGCATCTCATGACAGATATCAATACATATCAATCATTTAATGCGTCGTCACGCATACACCTAGGAGATCTCTTCCATTCCTAGCCTATCTCTCAGCCATATGTATCTATCTTCTTGAAGGGGCTTGGTAAAGATATCTATAAAGCCAGACGAAGCATATCCTAGTAAGGTTTTGAATGAGACAAATATAATGCCCTTACCACATAGCATCATACCATCTTAAACAACCTCTCAAAGACAACATCTCAGAACATCATATCCAAATCAATTTTTATCCTTGTTATGCCTAACAACTCAAAAACATCATAACATCATACACCTCCCTTCAACAACTTTCAAAGCAAATGACACACAGAGAGTCATATTCATCCAAATGATCTCAAACCTATCTCAAAAGAAAACTAAGAGAATAAGCTATAACTCTTATGAAAACATAAAATTCTAAAATAATTATCTTCTTAGCTAAAAATTCAAAAATCATGACAAATATATTCAGCACTTATAGCTAGACCTTTGATCACCCAAGCAGCTATAACTGGAGTTCTAGACCTTTATTTTTCCTGATTCCAGTTCCACTGAAAAGATAACATCTAAGGATTCAACTTTCCTGATGATGTCAATACGGTACTCATACTGGCACAAAAAAACTTTAGCAAAAATATCCTCTATACCAGACAGTAATATTATATCAACCTCTAAAACCACGAAAATACCTCAATCCTTCCAACTCACTTCTTTCCACCTCAACTAATATCCAAGCTTCCCACTACAATCCTAAACCAAAATAACTCACATACTCAACACTAAAGACTTAGAAAATAAAATTCACATGTTACCTAAACCACGAAAGGTTAACATGCAAGCACCAACACTAAAGGAATTCACCAACATTTCAATCTCTCATCAAGAATACCAAAACTCCAATTCTCAACATACAATCTCCTTGGATTCAATCACTATAACTATAGATTTCAGAAATGCCACCAATCGTAAACTCTTAATACATTCAATAAGTCAATTTCTTACTCACATCCAAGGTTCTACTAGTTTTAGTTGGTTAGCAAGATACCTCGTCTACTACCACTACTTACACCTATGCTCACAACACGAGCGATGCCACCCAACCACTACTTCTTACATAAGAAAGAAGTATCAAAACAATTAAGAAATCATGAGAATAAGAAAGAGTAATCAAAAATAGCATCATCAAGTTATATCATGTCTATCAGACAAATCCTGAGAACACAATGCACACAAATAAATAAACAACAACATAATCAATAATCACATTCGCACATCAATAAGTTCAATAATCAATTCATTACATTATTCATCTACCAAACAAGCATAGTAGACTCATAACTCACGGCTGATTGGATCGACTTGCTCTAATACCACTAAATATGACACCCTTACTACCCCAACACATATATATTATAAAAATGTAAATAAACTAAATAATAAGATTTTCAACGTTGATAAAAGGGTTCACATTAAACCTTCATAATTATTTCTCAATCCAAAAATAATTGAAAATAAAACTTGAAAAGTAAAACTTAAGAGTTTACAAATTGTTTTCAAAGGAAAAAGGCACAACTCCAAATACATATAAAAATTTATATCCTAGAATCCTCTGCCCCGATGTCACAATACCAGAGCACACCCACAATTCAATTGTTGGCATTTTAGATGCCACTCAAAGCCGGATCCTCCTCACCTAAAACATCCATAAATTATACGGTGAGAAAGGAAAAAATCTATATGTAAAGCACATACAAACAATCAACAATGTAATCTCATCATAACTCATTACATAATGAAATATTTACAAGCATTTCTATATATCATAACTTTATTAATCATGCATCATCTTCATATCATAATTCGCAATCACACCCATTCATCTCAAATCTTACAATTAACACTATGCCAAGGCCACGCCACATATGGCACAAGTGATACGGGTTAATTGCCTCACTCATCCCACACCATGCTAGGGGCAGGCTCGTCCTTGTAGCATCACTTACCCAAGGTTCGTCTCATCCATGGTCATTAGTGTGAGGAACCAAAATCACATTACAATCCACACAAGTCTTGAAATTAACCCTATGCCAAGGCTGCCATATTTGACATAAGTGATGTGTGTTAATTGCCTCACTCATCCCACACCATGCCAGGGTCATGCCCTCCCAGTAGCATCACTTACCCAGGGGCCGTGCCATCCCTGGTCATTGATGTGAGGAACCACAATCAATCACAATCTGCAATTAACCCTATGCCAAGGTCACGCCTGTAGCATCTCTTGTCCAAGGTCGTGCCACCCCCGACATAAGCATGAGAAATCACACTCCTACACTGTGCCAAGGTCACGCCTGCAGTATCTCTTGCTCGAGATCGTGCCACCCCTGACATAAGCATGAGGAATCACCCATCCCATACTATGCCAAGGTCACGCCTGTAACATCTCTTGCCTAAGGTCGAGCCACCCCTGGTCACAAGTGTGAGGAACCATAATCACATTAACATTCACATCCACATGGACATCCACATCCACACCCCCATCCACATCCCAATTCCCCAATACATACACAATCCACACAAAATAGGGGTTCACATACCCCTCAAGTAATTCACCATGAATCCTCATCTAGCTCATCAATTTTACCAAATCATGCAATAATAATATTTATAAATTAATATAAAACCTGATTAAATCGCCAATTTAATATAACCTTAAGCCAAACAATAAAACCCCCAATTTTTCCAAAACCTAACTCATAGGGTACTTTTCTACGATTTCGTTCTCTCTCACAGATCATCATTTGTACAAACTAATCATATATTCATAATCCTTAACACATATAAAATCTAAAAGGATCATCAATTTCTCAAACAGAATTAATTATAAAATTACCCATAATCTTAAGGGACTCTTCCTCTACCCAAATAATCCCATTTTCCCTCGTACCTGGATAAACAGTAGTTGAAACTAAAACAGAGATCTCCTTGGTCTCCTCCTTTGAGTGCCCCACGGTCTTCAGAGAGTGTAGAAGGAAAAGAAGAGAGCAAAGAAGAAAAAAAGAGAAAAGTGAAAAGTGTGTTTTTTGGGAGTGCCAGAGTGCTCTATTTATAGGCATCAGGTGTCTCCGGAATGGCCCGTTCCAAATCCAGTACGGCCCGTTCTCAATAAGGTTTAAAAGCCATTTCTGAAATCCAGAACGTCCCGTTCCCAACTAAGAATCATAGGCAAATTTAATAGTTTGGAACGACCCGTTCCATTTTGGAAAAGGCCCGTTCTGAGCCACTAAATCACCTTCGTTTTAGTAACTCGGAACGACCCATTCTAATTTTGGAACGGCTTGTTCTGGGCTACTAAAACACCCTTGTAAATTACTAAATTACCCTCATTGAGCTTTTGGGCCCTCGTACATTCTATGAAAATTGGGTTGTTACAATGCCAGTTGTCCGTCTTCCTTGCTTTTCAGCTTCCTTTGTCTTTCTTTCTTCTATGGATCATCGTATTCCCCTCCATTGTTAGATGCTCAACCCAAGGGGTTAAGCTTTGATACCAAATGAAGTGAGCGGAAAAAAACATAGAAGGGGGGGTTGAATATGTGTGTGTGTATGTGAACAAAGGTATTTTTTTTTATTAAAAAAACATTTTGCAAGAGTAGTGCTCTTCGTCCACTACACTTTTGAATATCAGACGGTTGTGCAGAGTTTGCTTAACATAGGATCAATGCGTCTGAAGAGTTTATCGTCCACTAGAATTTAGTGGCAGCGAGTGAATCATCAAAGAGTGTGAAACACCCTTGGACTTGTTTACTGACAAGGCACTATAGGCCCCATCTCACCATGGCCATTGCCATTCCAGCCTTCCAACAACTCACTGGCATGAATGTCATAACATTCTACGCTCCTGTTTTGTTCAAAACCATTGGTTTTGGTGCCAATGCTTCACTAATGTCTGCTATGATCACCGGAGGTTGTAATGCTGTTGCCACCCTTGTTTCCATTGCATCGGTTGACAAGTTCGGGAGACGTACTCTTTTCTTATTTGGTGGGGCTCAGATGTTCGTGTGTCAGGTACGTACATGCACTTTTTTATATATGTTTGTTTAAACTTAAAATTAATGTGTACATAATTAACAAACATATGTGTTTGGGTGTGTGTACATGCAGATGTTGATAACAGTGGCAATTGCATATAAGTTTGGAATAAATGGAAACCCTGGTGTGTTGCCAACGTGGTATGCTACAGCTGTGGTGGTAGCTATTTGCGTGTATGTTGCGGGATTTGCATGGTCTTGGGGTCCTTTGGGGTGGTTGGTTCCCAGTGAGATTTTTCCTCTTCAAGTTCGATCTGCTGCTCAGAGTATCAATGTTTCCACCAACATGATCTTCACCTTTGCCATTGCTCAAATTTTCACTGCCATGCTATGCCACATGAAGTTTGGATTGTTCATTTTCTTTGGATTTTTTGTAGTAGTCATGAATGTGTTCATCTACAAGCTTTTGCCAGAAACTAAAGGAGTTCCAATAGAAGAGATGTATTGCGTGTGGCAAAAACACCCTTACTGGAAAAGATTTGTCAAGCCGGCTGAGAACCAACCTCACTCTGACTGTTAGGACTTTGGATGTAATTTTTAAAACGAAAACGAAAACGACAACGAAATTTACCTCTTTAAAAAATGAGAGCGTGAGAGAGTAAAAAAACGAATGGAGGGAAAGATTAAAGAGAATGAGATTGGAGGGAAATATAAAAGGTTTTTAACGATACTTTTAAAATCAGTTATTTAAGAACCGATTTTGTATACTACATACAAAATCAGTTCTGAAATAACCGATTTTAAAAGTGCTACTTTTAAAATCGATTCTGAAACAACCGATTTTAAAAGTAGTAATTTTAAAATCGGTTATAAAATAACCGATCTTAAAATTTTAAGATCGGTTATTTTATAACCGATCTTAAAAGTTATGTCTGATATAACTTTTAAGATCGGTTCTTTTGTAACCGATCTTAAAAGTTGTGTCAGACATACCTTTTAAGATTGGTCATAAAATAACCGATCATAAAAGTACTTTTAAGATCGGTTAAATTTGAACCGGTCTTAAAAGTGTTCATATTATTTACAAAATTTCCACCGCGTCACTTTTAAGATCGGTTACTGATTTTAAATCCAATTTTTGCACTAGTGAGATAGCTATTCATTCATGGCTATGTAGATCTTTCATTTAATGCATTTGATCTTGTATTAAATGTTTGATTGTCGAATATGTGTTATGTGAAGTCTTTTGCATAATTTGTTCACTTTTATGTCTGACTTCAATCATAATCTAGGTATATTTGTTCTCTTTTCGTCATTGTAGCTGTAGAGGCGTTGTCTTTTTCTGAAAAGTATGTGTACTTGCTCTGACACACGCTGCTTTGACTTGTGGATTCAAGCTTGCCTATTTTTCTTCTTTCTTTTCAAAATATTGATGACTTTGTGTGCTCTTTTTGTGAGTGCAGTTGATAGATGATATCTCTCGTTGTGAATAATGGACTTTAGACGTTTTTCCAATATTCTATGTTTGCGTATGGAATTTGAGTCTTCGTCTAAAAGATAGACTTTGACTTTTCCTTTCGTTTGTTTTGACTCTTCCTTTCGTCTAGTTTTACTTTCCTTTCGCCTGGTCAGTTGTGAAGATGGAATACTTTAATTTCGTTTTGAATATTTCTTTGTCTTATGTTATCCATCGTCTAATACTTTTGTTGACCTTTGACTGGTAGTGCGCCTTGTCTTGCATTTGTTGTATTTTTTTCTGACTTTTTTAGGCTTAGTCTTGATGCTTGATCAATTCGTCTGATGTTTTGTATAGCCCAACCAGGCTTCATTTAATTTGATCATAGTATGTGTAATATCACATACTTCATTCTTCAGTTTTGCCCGATCTTATATTTATCTGAAATACTAACACACATGTTAGTAATAATAATATGTATTATATTTGTCATGTTCAAAACTTTGTTGGGAATTGCTTCGTCTGACTTAACAATCTCCCCCTTTTTGATGATGACAAATATACTCTATCAACTATCAATTTGTTTCAGATACAATATAGCATACATACAAGTTTATGCATATCATATGGTTTATCAAGTTCATGCTTTGCATACATTTGAGCAATTAGTAAGTATTTAAGGATTTAGGGTTCTAAGATTTCTTCCCTTAGTATATGCTCTCCCCCTCACTTGATTATCCTTTAGACAAGTTTGATAGATCTTTTCCTACCTCTCCCTTAAATAGGAAGTTTGATAGATCTTTTCCTACCCCTCCCTTAGATAGGTTTGATAGATTTTTTCCTACTTCTCCCCTTTTGTAATCATAAAAAAGAAATAGGGGTAGACAAAGAAACAATTTATTGTTAACCTATCAGTTCCATTCCTAGCCTATCTCTCAGCCATATGTATCTATCTTCTTGAAGGGGCTTGGTAAAGATATCTATAAAGCCAGACGAAGCATATCCTAGTAAGGTTTTGAATGAGACAAATATAATGCATATTGTTATCTCTAACAAATGTGTTAGTGTTTCAAAAAAACATAAGTACAAACAAGTTGAAGAATAGAGAATATGCATATACCACCTTCTACACTAGAACCAAGACAAAATGAGCTAAGCACTGGATGAAGTCTGATCAAAAGAAAGATATACACTAGACAAAGTTACCCACAAACTACAAATCTTGCATGCAAAATTCAATCCTTCCTTCCCAACACAGACGCAACGCAAAATAAAGAACAGAGCACGAACAACAAAGATACAGGGTAAAAGCTACAAGACATCAAATGAAGAGATCAAACAAAAACAAACCAAGCATAAGAAGGAAAATAATGAAGCCTCAGATGATAGAAGACCACAGACGATGGACAATCTAAATCAAAGCATCCTAGAGAGAGACTCAAATATATAGACGAAAATGAAAGATGTTAGATTGCATCTTAAGTCTACCAAATCACAACGAGAAGTAATGCTTATCATCCACACTCTCAGAGGAACATATGAAGTTATCAAAAAATAGAAGAAAAGAGAAAAGAAAAAAGGACTAGCATTTATCCACAAGTCAAAGCTGTATGTGTTAGGGCTAGAACACCTACCAGTCAGTAAAAGACAACGCCTTTGCAGCTACAATGCCAATAAAGTATAGATATGCTTAGGTTCTGATTAAAGTCAGACATAAAAGTAAACAAACGGTATGAAAGACTTCATGTAAAACAAACTCGACGAGAAAACATTTAATTCCAATAAAGTATTTTGTTGAACCAATCCTGGGCAGTTTTAGTTAAACATTCAAAGTAATATTTTTATGGGACAAAAAAGAGCCTTCTTGTGAAAATGCTTTTAAAATTCCTTTGTTCACACTCACACACATTCAACCCCATCTTCTGTGTGTTTTTCATCCAACTTAAATTGGTATCAGAGCTTAACCCGTTAGGTTGAGCATCTAACAATGCAGGGGTACATAACGATCCATGGAAGAACAAAGGAAAAATGAAAAGTTGAAGAGCAAAAGAAATAGGGGTAGACAAAGAAACAATTTATTGTTAACCTATCAGTTCCATTCCTAGCCTATCTCTCAGCCATATGTATCTATCTTCTTGAAGGGGCTTGGTAAAGATATCTATAAAGCCAGACGAAGCATATCCTAGTAAGGTTTTGAATGAGACAAATATAATGCATATTGTTATCTCTAACAAATGTGTTAGTGTTTCAAAAAAACATAAGTACAAACAAGTTGAAGAATAGAGAATATGCATATACCACCTTCTACACTAGAACCAAGACAAAATGAGCTAAGCACTGGATGAAGTCTGATCAAAAGAAAGATATACACTAGACAAAGTTACCCACAAACTACAAATCTTGCATGCAAAATTCAATCCTTCCTTCCCAACACAGACGCAACGCAAAATAAAGAACAGAGCACGAACAACAAAGATACAGGGTAAAAGCTACAAGACATCAAATGAAGAGATCAAACAAAAACAAACCAAGCATAAGAAGGAAAATAATGAAGCCTCAGATGATAGAAGACCACAGACGATGGACAATCTAAATCAAAGCATCCTAGAGAGAGACTCAAATATATAGACGAAAATGAAAGATGTTAGATTGCATCTTAAGTCTACCAAATCACAACGAGAAGTAATGCTTATCATCCACACTCTCAGAGGAACATATGAAGTTATCAAAAAATAGAAGAAAAGAGAAAAGAAAAAAGGACTAGCATTTATCCACAAGTCAAAGCTGTATGTGTTAGGGCTAGAACACCTACCAGTCAGTAAAAGACAACGCCTTTGCAGCTACAATGCCAATAAAGTATAGATATGCTTAGGTTCTGATTAAAGTCAGACATAAAAGTAAACAAACGGTATGAAAGACTTCATGTAAAACAAACTCGACGAGAAAACATTTAATTCCAATAAAGTATTTTGTTGAACCAATCCTGGGCAGTTTTAGTTAAACATTCAAAGTAATATTTTTATGGGACAAAAAAGAGCCTTCTTGTGAAAATGCTTTTAAAATTCCTTTGTTCACACTCACACACATTCAACCCCATCTTCTGTGTGTTTTTCATCCAACTTAAATTGGTATCAGAGCTTAACCCGTTAGGTTGAGCATCTAACAATGCAGGGGTACATAACGATCCATGGAAGAACAAAGGAAAAATGAAAAGTTGAAGAGCAAGGAACTCGAACAACTGGTATTGGTAAACCGATTTCTTTTTAATCCATGATGGCACTTGTCGAGGCCAAGGGAGCTTGCATTTGAAGAGAGAATTTGTCCTTAGGGAGCATGGTTGTTCTTCCCTTTTTCGCTTTATAGCCTATAGGAAGCAAATTGAGGTAAGTGAAACTTGTTTGATTCTTTAAATTTATTTATGTTGGAAATATTGTTGTTTTTGTCCATTGGTGGTTGACTACTCAAAATTTGAATGTCTTAAGTTGAAATGGAGATGTTGGGATTTTTAGTTGTTGAAAACCCAAAGTTGATGTTGCTAGATTATTGTTGTTAAATGGTTGCATGTTCATTTTGAGTTGAATTTCATATTTTACATGTTGTTTAGAATTAATTTCATATATTGCATGTGATTTTTGATGTTTAATGGTGGAGAAAAGTGTCCATACATTGGAGGTGTTGGTCATTTTGGCTTAGTGAGGTGATTATTTTTTAGCAATCCTTCATAAATGAGGGCCAAAAACCCAACGACATATAGTTGTTCAACGAGAACATATGAAGGGTGTGTGGTTCTTAGAGGATAGATGGTCTACTAATTCCATTTAGGGCTTGTTTGATGCATGTCAATGCTATGGTAGGCTTATGCCTAAGCTTTACTATTCTTGATAGGTGTATTGGACCTTCTTAGTTTAAGTGACAACATTTAAGAAACCAGGTGGGTTGTTTTATTACTATTATGTCAGTTGTGTTATATTTATGACTTAGAGATAACAAGTCAAATGTTGTTGGTTTAGTAGCATCAAGCCATTTAATTTGATCACTAAGTTGTAGGAGATCTCCAAATTTGAAAATATGTGACGACACATAAAGTTGTTGAGTTGTAAGGTTGTGCAAATTATATTGTTTAAAGATTGTTGAGTTGTGCTTCTTGAATTGTTGTTTAAGTTGATTATGAGTAGTTGTGTTGTTTATGTTGTTTTAAATATATTGAGTGGAGAATTGTAAAGTTAGTTGATATGTTGATTTAAGTTGATTATTATATCTTGTGTTGGAGTATATATGATTAATGTTGTGAATTGTTAAGTTATCTAAATTTGAAGTTGCTTATTTTTAATGCTCTATTATTTGTTATTTCTTTTCACACAAGCTTACCTTTATGTTTCCATATGTTGAATGAAATGATCATACATGACAAGAGAGCATGTTAGAATTAGGTGTAGGGTGAGCTTGGATGCTTGGTGGGCTAGTTAGTGATGGCTTTTTGGGTTGGAGTTTATTTGACACAACCTATGTATAGAGTTACTAGACCAACACTAGGATTTCATGCTTTTAGTTCTTTTGATTTTGTAATTTTTTTTATATATTCAAGGATAATTGTAACCCTATAAAGGGCTTTGTGTTTTCTGTCATCTGACCAAGGATTGTATACACACAGGCATTGTTGCATGATGTCCAAGAACTATTCCATAAGATTCTATGTTTTGTTGTCTTTATGTTTTCTACTAATATTGAGTTGAGTTATTGTGGTAGATTGTTGGGTTGTTATAGGAAACACATGTCTTGAAATTTTATCATACACTTACAAGGTTAGGCAAAGAGAAAAACAAATATTACACAATCAATTTTAACTTAGATTAATTGATTAAACAACTTAAAGCGATGCAATTAACCATAATTTCTTATATGGTAATCAATTAAACCTTTTGGTAATTGATGAAAATAGTGCACCTGTTATTTTCAATGTCTCTATATAATGGATTACATTGTTTTGCTTTTAATAATAAATTTGAGATTATAAGTTTCATATAATCAATGACAATACAATAAAATTTTAATAGATTACAAACAATCATTTCATGAATTACATGCATTATGTAATGGATTACAACAATAGATTTTACGTCGTAGCACAACCAACTGCAAATCAAAACAAATAATTTCCATAATTCATGAAAGTAACCAAACATATGTAGAATCAATCAACACGGATCAAAACATATAAAATATATATTTATAAGAATTAGGTTTTTCATAGATTATTTCTTATATAAAGGAAAAACCAATCTAAAAAGAAGTGGTTTGGTAAAAATATCATCGAATTGCTTAAAAGTTTTAACAAACTCTATTTTATGATTGCAATTTTCAATAAAGAATTATATTAAAAATATTTTTCTAATATCCTTAAAGCATTGGTTAAAAAAAATCTTCTAATTATTAACTTATAATGATAATTTATATTTTTAAAAAACTACACTACTCTTGAAAAAAAAAAGGTTTCTAAATCTTAGAATGTGAGTTTGTGTCTAATTCAAAATCGGCTTGTAATGTGAGAATTGACCCACATTTATATACTCTTTGTTAGTTTTGTCTCTAATCGATGTAAGACTTGAGTTTTTCTCAATATATCCCTCACACCCAACACTATTGGTTTTGGTGCATGAATAAATCGTAGGAGACCTTTTCTAAGGATAGGGGAATTTAGATTTTTCCTAATACATCCTTTCATGCCTATTTAGTTGGTGCTTTTATAAACAGTGGATGAACTTTTTGAAGAATCTAGGATAACTCTGATACCATAATAGAATATGAGTTTTTGGCCTAACTCAATCTTAAAAAGTTAGCTTGTAAGATAAAAGTTACCCCCTACTTTTCTTATCTCTAGTCGATATAGGTCTTGCATTTTTATTAATTTATCCCCTCACGCCCAATCTATTTGACTTTGCAGGGTTGACCTAACAATATGAGGACCAAAGCAAATTTTTGGATATAATTTTTTCTTTAAATGAGAAAGATATAGGTTTAAGCTTTTTTTGTAAACAAATTAGAACAATTTTTGTAAACATGTGAGTTTTTTTGAATATATATGTCGCTTTTTTACTTTATAAAAACTAATAACAAACATTTTTTTTGTTAGTGGGCCTAAAGCTTTAAGCTTTAGTAGCCTTACCCTTGGACTAGCCCTAGGACTTGGTGTGTGGATAAGCGATAGGTGATTTTTTAGATGATCTATGATAGATAAGACTTGGATTTTTTTCAATGCTAAAAAGATACTTTTTAAAAAATAATTTCTTTAAGAAGTAAATATGAGAATTTTTTTTAAAATAGAAAAGTTAAAAAATAACAAATTTAGCCAAATATGTAAAAAAAATGTGAAAAAATGTTTATTTAATTTTAAAAAAATAGGTTTTAAGGAAAAAAAAACATAGTTTAATCCCATTTACTAACTATATTTTGACCATGTCTTTCATTTATGACCCATGAATATATTTATTATTTTTTTCTTGCAAAATCATATGACATTAATGGTTGAGAAAATTCATAAAAATGTTTGAAGTTTTAATCCAAATCAAATACACATCAAACCATTGGTGAAGATATTAAGTCTAAACTTAAAAATATATCAAAAGATTTTAATAGTCTCAAATCACATAATTAAAGATGAAGTTAATATGAAATTATAGGGTTTAAATATGGGAGTTGATAATTGATATAATAAGAGCCTAAATTTAGGCCTCCTCTTCACCATCATCAGCAGG